ATTTTGCGCATCTTCCCAACACGTCGTCGAAACTCCTACCAGGTCGCTTGGCCAAAGAGTTCTTACATAACCCTGGCAGTAGCCCTCTCGTCAGTCCTCCCGATTTGATTTCTTCTGTCGCTGTTGGGCACTCGACACATGCCTTTGTAAACCTTGCCACATATTCTCGCAGCGACTCTCCCTTCTTTTGCTGCATACTTATCAACGAGAGATAGGATTTCTCTTGCATCCTCACACTTGCAAATTGGTTAAGAAAACTCGAGCTAAATCCATCAAAGTCCCTAATCGACCCCGCTGGAAGTTGATGGAACCAATCTTGGGCCGACCCTGTCAAAGTCGTCAGGAAGGCGCGGCATTGCACTGGGTCGCTGTAACGATGAAGTACAGCCATATTTTCGAAACTCCTCAAATGTCGAGACGGGTCAGTGGAGCCGTCGTACCATATGTTCAATTCTCTGAAGCCTTTGGGTAAGTCGGCTTTCAAGATCTGCAACGAGAATGGGTGCTCTTTTGTTCCCCTGCTTTTCTTTCCATCGACTCGAGCCTGTAAGTCGCGAACCTGGGCTAATAGTTGTTCTAACGTTTCATCCCTCGCTTGTGGATTGACCGTTCGAATGGAAGACTCTTCCTCGTCCACCCTCCTATTCTGTTGCACGTTCGACTGGGCTTGTTGCTTGACGCGGGGCTGTTGTTCAATTCGAGGCTGATAATCAACGCAGGGATGCTGCTCGACTCGAGGCTGCTGCTCGACCTGCGCCATCTGCTTCATCTGAGCTGCTATCGCCTCAGCGATCATCTTCTGCATTTCGCTTCTCGTCATCGTCAGGGTTTGCTCCTCGACATGATGTTGGGCTTACTCCGGTACCTCCTGTATCTGTTTTCCCTCACGTCGAGATATCTCCATTGGTCCCTTCTCCCCTCCCGGATTAGGGTTTTGACTCGTTCCTGCCTGAGTCAACACTTGTATCTTCACGCCGGTTGGAGTTACAGGCGTTTCTCCGCCCAACGTCAGCCCTGGTGGTGGTGGTCCTCCGACTGGTGGCATTCCCGTCATCTGAACTACGGGGTGTTTGGTGGTAGGAAGTGGTGGTGGCCTCTTGTCCATCCACGTCCCTCTGAATTCCTCACTCAGGTTCCTCTGCACGCTCTCCTTCTCCGCCATTGGCAAACAGATCGGAGCTGGGTGTGAAGCTCTTCCTTCCTTTAAGAACTCCCCACAGACGGCGCCAAATGATGGGTCTACTTCTAGATCTGAAGTGAACCGGTGGTTGTGAGCTCAGATCCGCTTGAACCGCCTTGAAACCGTTGCTAGATCGCAAGGATACCTGCAAAAACTCAACGCCGGAGGTGTTTCCGGCGTAGAGCCTCCGACGCTCAAGTCAGTATGAGAGTGATGAAGGGAGGCTGCGCAGCAGCTATGGGGGAGAGTGGGAATGAATGAGAGTTGGGGTTTAGGGTTACCTCATCTCCTTTATATAGGAGCGAATACTTACGTGAAGTGTCCAAAATGCCCAAGTCGGTGGACTTAGAAGGTCCAAAATACCCCTGTCGATTCGTCTCCCCTTTGTTGCTGAGTCATCGTAAGATTCCTTCTTATCTTTGATAGTATGTGGAGTTTTGGATATATTACAAGTGTGATGAGTCGTCATCACATCTTCGTTATTCGAGGTATGCGAGGTCGACTTCGAGAGCTAGGAGGTCGACTCGGGGATATGTGTGGATTCGGAGGCTACACGGCTAATCACTTGTGGTGAAGTCGTCTTAGTTCAGTCGACTGTTGGAAGTCGACTTAGGATATCAGGATGCTTGGGCACAGTACTCTTGCTGTTACTCTTTTATTGATGCCGACTAGTGAAAGTCAATAGATTAAAGTCGACTTGCGGGAGTCGACTAGACCAATTCCTGCTTCTTCTTGATTGCTCTTAGCAGAATCGACCTTAGGTAAGTCGACTTGAGCATGTCGGCGGAGTCATGTCGACATGCGAGTAGTTTGTTGGTTGAGTAAGGAGCTTCTGGACCGGATTATCCTTATACGGCTATATCAAAATTTTTCCATAAAAATCTCCAAATTTGTTACCAAAAAAATAAGATTTAGATTTTGTTACTAAAGATTCACATGTGTTTTTTTGAACTTTCCATTAATAGTAAGTCAAACATTATATTTATTTGGTCAAACTTTCTATTAATGTATTTTTCCAACAACCTCTTTATATATACTAGTACAGTCCCCGTGCGATGCACGGGTGTTTATTATCTCCATCCCTTTTATAAAGCAACGTTCAATTAAAATTAAAAGTACTTACTAAAAGAAAGATCATGCCATTAATAATAAATAAATTAATAAATACAATGATAATAAAATTTATATATTATTAAACACTTCCTTATATACACGTTCATGGTTTGATTCTTTGGCACGTCATCGTCGCCAAAAAATAGGACTTTCAAACTCATTTCTGTTTGTGATACGGGAGACAGCAACATACAATTGGCCATGACATCATATTGAAATGTATAACATATAAAATAGTTTATTACAGATTTTAAATTAAAAAAAATTTGAAATAAGAAATAAACAAAAAAAATATAACGTACCAAACAACCTGGCTTCATCAATGTTACGAACATCCATTAAAGTTAGAAAGTTCCTAAAGTCAAAACGATACATAGAAAAATCACCCCTCCATTTGATAATCTTGGTTTGACCATTGATAATGATCCTTCTTTTTCCAATTGTCGATTTATGGATGCCAATATTGCTTCCCTTTGATAGTTTGTCAAGATATAAGCGCCACCTTCTTCAATATCACCGATGATTTTTTGGATATTGACAGGTCGAATTATGCTAGTAATTCGTCATCCCCAAAATATTGCATAATGAATAATTCAATAAATAAATTATAAAAGATGTTGCATAAAATGATGCATTTAAATAATAATAAAAGAATATATTACCTTAAAATCGTGAAAGATAATCTCAAGAACATTTAGGTAATTGCGTACGTCTTCAACTTGTTGGAACATACCAATTATGCGTAGCTTGATTGGTGGCTTATTGGACCTTTTGATATCCTTCATTACTCCAAAATCCAAAGCCATTTTCAATGGTGATGTAAAAGATTGTAGAAAAAATTGTTTTGTGGTATGTATTGAATGTCGAATACTTTTTGTTCAATGTTGGTGATGTTTATATAGTCATGTGTATGTGCCATATGTTTGGGAAATAAAATAAATTTTACGTAAGGTATTTAATATGATCCGATCTGATTTTTTTTATTATGATTATGATTGACTTCTAAAAATATGTGTTATCGGTTTTGTTAAAAAAATAAAAAAAATATGGAACGTGATTCACTTGTGAGGGACGAACGAATATTTAGAAGATTATGTAGCAAAAAATAATGGAGTTTGTTACGATGAAATTTGGTAAGACTTTTTGGATAGATTGAAAAATATTATTTTTATTTTGATATTTTCCTATTTATTTGGACAAATCCAAAACTTTAATTTACGAAATCATAATCTTTAATTTTTTGAAACATGTAAAATTTTCTAAGATAACTTCTATAAAACAAAATGTGATCAAATCATAATTGATTTTTATGCCTCAATATTTCAAATCTAACCATACAAATATGGTATAATTATTTACTATTAATATTTTATTTTTTCAAACGTCTGATTCTCTTAGGTTTATATGAAACAAAGTTCAATCAAATCAAAATTGATTTTTGTGCCCACACTAAAACTTTATCAATATGATATGTTTATTTTATTTAGTTATTTATTTTTTGCAAATCCACAACTCAAATTTTAGAGAGAGAGAAAAAACAGGAAACAAAATCTTATCAAACCTTATCAAATTTTCGAGAGAGGAAAAAAAAAAATTGGAAACAAAATCTTATCAATAATGAAGATACGTATTTCCATGAAAAGCTAACAAAATCCCGTGGTTACCAAAATCCTATCAAATTAGTTAACAAAATCCCATTAAATTGGTTAACAATATTGGAACGCATTTTGTTAGGAAAGATTTACGTAATTTATCTATCTAATTAATATCATATTAACGTGTGGGCCCAGTGATACTAATTTAGTATAGCATTCATTATCTCGGAATAATTTTTTGTTTGATTTACAACATTAATTTGAATGGAAAAAAAATCCATAATTGTTGAGATATCTCAATTCAAAATCTATTTTTTTTGGCATAAGAATCTTCAAATTTGTTACCAATAAAAATAAATTTCTATGGAATTAATATTTAAAATGAACTAAATCTTTGGTATAAGAATCTCCAATTTTGTTACCATAAGAATCTTCAATTTGTTACCATAAGAATTCCATAGAAATCTCCTATGGATTGGAATTTATCAATATTTAGTATATCATCCATTATTCTCGGAATAATTTTTTGTTTGATTTACAACATGATTTTGAAGGGGAAAAAACCCAAAATTGTTAGGATATCTCAATTCAAAATCTCAATTTTTGGCATAAGAATCTCCAATTTGTTACCATAAAAATCCCATAGAAATCTCCTATGAGATTGAAGTTTATCAATATTTGGTATAACATCCATTATTTTTGAAATAATTTTTTGTTTTATTTATAATATTAATTTGAATGAGAAAAAAATTCGTAATTGTTGGAATGTCTCAATTCAAAATCTCAATTTTTTGGCATAAGAATCTTCAAATTTGTTACCAATAAAAGTATATTCCCATGGGATTAATATTTAAAATGAATTAAATTTTAGTATTGGAATCTCCAAATTTGTTACCATAAAAATCTCTAATTTTTTTGAGATATCTCAATTAAATTTGTTACCATAAAAATCTCCAAATTTGTTATTATAAAAATCTCAATTTTTTTGGTACATGTGTTTTTTTCCGAAATTTCTACTAATAGTAAGTCAAGCCATTTATTTTTTTAGTAAAACTTACTATAAAAGTATTTTTCCAACAACCTCTTTATATTACTATAGATATAGATTATGAGTTTTATTTTAAAAAAAACAAATATTGTTTTTTAAAATGAACAAATACAGAACCAGAAGAACTAGTGGTACCTGAGCTGACACAAGACTGCTTTCATCCACACCGTCAAAGCCATCACCTCAAGGATTTATGCAGGCGGCCTCCACCACGGACGCCATGGCTGCGGCGGCTCTGAGCTCGGTGCTCCGGCGGGTCAACCAGGCCGCCCAGCGGTCCGGCCGCACGTCGGACCTGGTACGGCTCGTGGCCGTGGGCAAGACGAAGCCTGTCCCCCTCCTCCGGCAAGTTTACGACTCCGGCCACCGCTGCTTCGGCGAGAATTACGTTCAAGAGATCGTCGAGAAAGCTCCTCAGGTAAGCCTTTCGTTTATGTACCAATTTCATTTTGATTTGTTCCCAAATTGATGAATTATATTCATATTCGATTTGTTTGCCCTAACAATGACTATCATCCATTTTTTTATTTTTTATTTCAGCTGCCGGAGGACATTGAATGGCATTTCATTGGGAATTTGCAGAGTAATAAAGTGAAGACGCTGTTGTGTATGTCTGCAATGCATTTTTATACCATATCAGTCTTAATATCTCTTTTCTGATCAATTTATCTTGTAAATTTGACTTCTGACTTGTTAATGATCAGAAGCTTCAAAAAGTGCTTTTTGTTCTTCAATTCATTCATTAGTTTGTTTGTGTGTGCATATGTGCAATTTTTGAAATCAAGTACAGTTATTTTGTTCTGTTAAATAAGCTATCTGATTACCAAAACTCATGGTTTAAAGAGATCGGTATTGTAAATAAAGACTAGTACTGCGAATCGAAGTGTGGAGCAACTGGCTAGGCTGTGAATTATTAGTTAGTGCATGTGTATTGAGCTTGTTCTTTTGTGGTGTAAGTCTTGAAATGAAAGCTGTTTAATGTGTATATTTGGGTTCATTTTCATGCATTTGCAGCTGGTGTACCAAATCTTGCGATGGTGCATACTGTTGACGACGAAAAGGTACAAGTATACATGTGATTATGCGGTTGTGTTATATTGAGCTGAGTGTTTACCAAAGGAGTGAAGACAATTGATTTAAACTTCCACGAACAAATTGATATGCAATTGGGTATGAGTTATTAACTTATTATCATGGATAATGGTTATTGTCTACTTAAAATTTTCTTCCAAATATCCCTAATTAGCTCTCTTGATGCATTTAGTATCTATTTGGATGGTTGAAATTGTAAGAAATGCAGTCTGATTAGCAAGAACTAAAGTTATGATACGGAGAACTTTCTCAAATTGATGCATAGCAGCCAATATAAACCCGCATTTGGTGTAATCTACTGTTTAACAATTTATATTTAGTTCCAAGTTTATGCTACCTTTATTGTGGCAACTTTACTGAAATATAATTTCTTATAGTTAAATAAATGGATTTTTATTTTATTAGAAATTGAATGGAACAGGATTTTGCTATTCCAGCCAAAATGCAAATTCGAATCCTAGTTTGTTTAATGGTTGTAGTTGAAAGTTTCTTTTGTATGCTACTATCTTGGATGTACCAATATTTTATTTGCTCATCGTGCAAACTAAATTTTATTTCTAATTAATAACCCTCTTTTTTTGCCGTGTGCAGATAGCCAACCATCTTAATCGTGCAATCGTTAACATCGGGCGGAAACCGCTGAAAGTGTTGGTCCAAGTAAACACGAGTGGTGAAGAATGTGGGTAACCTTAGTATGTCCTGATAGATGGGATTTTATTTTGCTTTCCACTATTCGCTCGATAATCAAACTCGATTTTTTTTCTTTTTTTAATTTTATAACCGACACATCCCTAGAAAAAGGAAAAGGGCGAGTGAGCTAAAAGATTTTTTTGTCATGACTTCAGCTAAATCTGGTGTTGAGCCCACTGGATGTGTGGAGCTTGCTAAACACATCAGGATGAACTGCCCGAACCTTGAATTTTGTGGCCTCATGACAATAGGAATGCCGGATTACACATCAACCCCCGAGAACTTCAAGGTAGATTATATACACTGAATTATTCGTGATTTGTCATATTTTTGCAATCTTTTTCGTACCAAAATTTGTCCTGATCAATCTCACTGGTGGAAATTGGTGTTTATTTTTTCTGTTTTTTCTCTCTTTTTTTTCCCTTGGAAAATGGATATGTCCAGACTTTATCCAACTGTAGAAGTGAGGTTTGTAAGGCACTTGAGATGGAAGAACACGAATGTGAGCTGTCGATGGGCATGTCTGGCGACTTTGAGCTTGCCGTGAGTTTTTTTAACATGCTATTTTCTTGAATTCAGTTCTAAACAAGCATTTTACAGTGACTGATTTTGAAACATACTTTGCTAGTGACCTACGAATTCATCTCTTGAATTTGAATCATATACAAATTTTGCTGTCGACCGACAAATAGACACGACTGATCCAACTATTGTTTTGTGTCGTTGTTGTAGATTGAGATGGGCAGTACAAGTGTTAGAGTTGGATCCACCATATTTGGAGCAAGGGAATACCCGAAGAAAAAAGTGTAGTAGCTCTAAATTTATCTGTTTATTTTAATTTTTTTTTATGGCTGTTTTGAGATCAAATTTTGTATCAACTTTTCTATTGATCCATAATATCAGGTGCAAGTAATTATCATGGTGTTCTGATTAGTTGCTTTACTGGACAAGCCTGAATGTAAATATAGCTTTTATACACAATTTAGTAATTTACAGACCCTTGTTTGATTTTAACTTTTAGATTGTTCGAGGACAAGCATAATGTCAATCAACAAAAATTTGAAGATCAAATAATTTTAATTGTTCAACTTTTTCAACAAGAAACATTTGAACTTTTAGTGCAATGTTTCATTTATGAAGAGACCATAGAAAGAAACTCCCCTAATAATCAAATCTAACAAGAAAATTTGGCTATTTTCTACTGTTTGATTTACAAAAAAAAAGTTCATAGAAATTCAAGACTCTGAATTTCCATTAACATCTGAAAGTCGCGCTGAGGATCCACCGCTCGCCTTGCTGGGAAGAGGCGTATTTCTTCTCGACTGTCTTTTCGTGGGCACCAACACATTTTCTTCTTCTATTTTCCCGTTCGTATCAATATCATAATCACCTTCATCTTCTTCCTCCTCGTCATTCTTGAAAACCGGATGAACGTATGCATTCTGTAGATAGCTTTTCAAGTTCAGATTCGGTTCTCTTGCTCGCTCTAACGTGTCTTTCATCATTGCTTCCTACAAAAATACCAACGGTTCGTGTTTTGTAATTTTCTGTTTTGTTTTTTTTTTTTTTAATAAAAA